GCAGCTTTCTTTTCCAGGTTAACCTTAGCTCTACATTCAGGAGTAAAGATAGTAAGTTAGCTCGAGAGGGGGAAAGGTCCTGTCAAAAGTGCCAGTGCCTGTGTGAGAGTACCCAGTTTTCTTAATTCATCCCCGAGGACCGGATAAGTCTATCAATCTGCTAAATTGGAAAGCCATTAGGTGCCCTGGTTTATGTGTTTCAAGCTGTTAACTAGAGGCTGATTGATTGTTGTTCCTTTGATGGGATATGCTGATCTAATCTCACTGTGTGCACGTTTGCAATAAATTACACAATTCATTTCCCCCATTTAGAGGAGCTGGGGAGGCGAGGGGGGAGGATCACACCTCCAGGCATGCCTGCGCTCTGCAGCCAAAAGAGCAGGGAACCTATTTTATGGTGCCATCTAGCCGGCAAGCTTTCAGCAATTCCAGCCTTCGTTCAAACCCCCCCCCCGCACCCTTACCTCCCCCCTCTCTCCCTCCTCCAGCCCTCCAAAAAATCGAAGCATAATCAAGGTGTATGTTTAGAAAATTTATTGTTATAATTTTCCCCCATAATCTCCTCCATTTTCCTGCAGCTGCACTGCCATAGATCATCATCTAAAAGGAGAGAATGGATAGCAGTTTAAAATTTATCGGTCTTTGATTCTCAATTATACGTGTTTATGACTTAATCTGTCTTCACTGACTTCAACCTTTTCCATTATGGTGGAATATTATTTGTACGGAATCCATTAAATTCACAAGCCAGGACTCTAATGGTCGGGCTGCAGCGATTTGCAGAGGGAAAAGTTTTGAAAGGCTGGCTTTAGGAAAAACCCGACTGTTATGACACCAGAAATTGCTTTATTGATGGTCTGCTCTGCTGCCTGTGCATTTGGCCATTTGTTACTCAGCCCATGTCTATATCTCAGTCTGACACTGATGAGAACTTTTCTGTTGCCCTCTCCAGATTACTGAGTTGTAATGACACATGCAGGCCGGCTGGGTGAAGGCTGACGACCCCGGGCAGAGTTTTTACAGGCACACAGGCTGTGCCCCGCCTGAGGGGCTTCTGTGAAGCTGCCCCTAATGGAGAAAAAGAGCTACATCACTGCTGTGACTCTTTCCGTCTACACCTGACCGAGCTCATCATCTGCAGAAAACAATAGATAAAGAGATAGTGCGGCGAAATGTAGATAAAGTGAGAGCGGCTACATGCTAAGTGACATGTTTTCAAATCTCCCCTCCACCCTATTGATCACGTGCACCAAAGGGGAAACGTCGCCCTCGTCTGAAAAAACAAAACAAAAACTCTTTCCTGTTTACACTGAGAGTAACAAGATTCTCTCTCGTCAAGCGGCCGCTCTGCTGAAGTGTTCCAACCTGAATGACATTGAGCTTCTTCGACTGTTCAGTGCAAGAGGCCGAGCAAAAGCTAATCAGGCTGTAATTCAAGATTCCTCTGGACACTTACCAATCAATACCTGCACAATCCCAATTAAAGTTTACCGGGTCAGTGGAAGGCCACCAATTCCCTTCTCCTTAGTTAAATGCAACACTTAAATCTAAGCAGCAATCTTCTGGTGGCCTTCGTTGCTTTAATGTCTCTTCCCAAACAGGCGTGTCCACTTAGAAGTGTAGGACAGACTCAGAGTGGACAGGTCAGGGTGACAAATGCTGCCGTCCTGAGAGTATTCAGTCTGGAACCATGAAGCCTAAAGTGCCACTGGATTCTATAGGATTTCCTACATAGATTCCTCATGCAGTACCGGTATAAAACAGTAAACTACAGTAACCTCTGCTTTTTTTTGTTTATTTTAAACGTAAAATTAAACTACTACATCCTTTAATACTACTTTACTACTATTAAACTTGGAACTTGGAATTATGGAATATTTTTCATATTTTTTATAAATAAATACAAGGACTTAGAATTATGGAATATTTTTCATATTTTTTGTCATATGTTTGCAGACAAACCAAATTGTTCTAAGTTATTGCAAATATTTGAACATATTCCTATTTGGAGAAAAAAATTTTTTTTTTAGAAGATTAAGATAAAAACAATAATTTGCAGACAGACCAAAGAGTTCTAACTTGTTGCAAATATTTGAACAAAAAAAAATTTGTTTTTAGAAGATTAAGATAAAAACAATAAAAATATAATAATAAAACATATACTAAAATTTGTATTAGTAGTATTAATTATTGTAGTATTTTTAAGGAATTTTTTACATTATATTGTGAGAAACACCCTTTAAATTACAGACAGAACAGACTACAGTAATACTACAACTATTTCTACTTCAGGTGTAAGTGTATAGCAGTAGTATTCAGGGTTTAAATTCAAATTATACATATGTAACATTAAATTATAGTCTTCCCAGGAAGTTTAGCATTTTATGGCTGTTAGTACAAATGAAACACCAAACCAGGCTCTAACACCTATTGTTCATGTTATCACTGCAGCGTTGAAAAGCATCAAAACATTTTCCTCCACTTCTCCTCCACCACAAACATCTCTGAACCTCCAAGTCCTCGGTTCTCCTTCCACTTTTCTCCCCCGGAGCCTCTGCCACTGCGCCCATGTCTTTTATCACAATTTTGACCCACAGAAAGGAATTCTCACAAGATATCAAAACAAAAATCTATATTTCATATGGGAGCAATTACAAAGTGAAGTTGGCTGCACTGGGCCGTTGTCACCGCGGCGCGTGTTTTTCATTAAATAGGTCATTAGACGATGATGGATGTAAACCTATAAAGTATCTAAACTGGACCTTTTAACAAACCACGAGCAACACTATCATTTCTCTAATAGAACCTGCTGACCGTGTCATTCGCTGCTGCCATTTGTCATTTTTCCTTGTGAAATAATCAATATCTGGGCGCTTAGAAATAAATAATATAAAAGTCACAGTAACCTACCCGAGGAGCAACAAAAATAGACTTATGGAGCATTCAGGAGGCCCATACAGCCTGTGGGCAGTGTCCACTGCATGTTTCTAATCAATGCATAATATGGATGGTGTATTTGTAAAGTGCAGACGACAGGTTTTTAGTTTGTACGGTTTATTTTCAGGGATCACACCCGACGTGCTGCCAAGCACTGACGTAATAAAGTAGTAAAATGTCTTTCTTGGTTGAAGTCGCTCCTTCAGTGATCTTAGACTGTTCAATAAAAGCTGAGCTGTTTTGAAAAACAGTATTGACACTGTAGGTGTGGGTTTATGGAGAAGGTACATTTTTAGTAACTTCATTAAGCTAATACTACAGTAATACTTGGAGCAAACTTACAACAAAATGCTGTGGTCAAGTTGATTAGCCATCGTATGCTAACCACACACAGACTGTCTTTGTTTGGAGCATTTGTTTTAGTTCCAGGTGTGTACCCTGAGGGATCTCTGAATGCTCTTTTTTGTTTTGTTTTGCTAAGTTTAGGTGGTCCTCCTGAATGGTCCACTCCACTCCAGACACATTCTATGGTTTAATACTAAGTGACAATGAAAACCTGGTGACCGACTTTATTTACTATACTTTTCTGTTGTGACCATACGGGAAGAAAACCTTGAAGAAATTGTTTGTAATTCTTGATTCAATAAAAGACAACATGGAATGGTAGGAAAGCCTGTGTTAAGCACGTGCAGCTTAAAACATCCACAACACTGTGTACAATTTTCTCTCATTCAATTCAATCAAACGCTCCAACAATCACCACCTGTCTTCATTAAAATATGTAAATATTAATTATAAAATATAAATAATGAATCACAATTATTAATGTGGTTCTGACTCATGACCCCCCCCACACACACACACACACACCTACGACCTCTGACAGTATGTATATTATCACTCCAACCATAATAATTTCCTACTTGAGTGCATTTCACCAGTAGGGCCCACAGAGGTCGCTGCCTCCTCGTCCTTTCTGCTCTACAGTAGCTCACAGCCAACGGTGTGTGTGCTTTATTTTTAACAAGTCAATTAATATCAATGAGTGAATATGCGTAGCGCACTTACAAAGAGTGCAATCTGAGGGATGAATTAACCAAATCGATTAGGGAGGAATAAATGACTGTGCGACCGTAGACATTGTGGAAATGTCCCTCGCTGAAAATCAATGAATTAGAAATATGAATCTAATCGCCCATTGGTGACACGTGGAGGAGCTGCAGCCTGGTCTCGGGCCTTTTAACAGATTGTTGCCCAGAAGTGAATATTTGGGGAGCAGATATTTGACTGCTGGCGCGGTGACCCTTCTATTTACTTTTTAATTCTGTTTAGTCAAGACATTTCAAACGGAGGCACCGAGGCTGGATGTTGGTCCCAGAGTCAGAGTAATAAGACTTCAGTGGACTGTAGTCAAACTGACGTCAAGGTAAGAATCGCAGTCATTTTTGTTGTTCCAAAGGAGAAAAAAAACTACTTTGTGGAGGTTAGTAACAAAAGAGTGTAATAAAAAATGTAGAATTGGATTTAAATCAAAAAATATTCTCCTAAATAAAGACTTTAAAAAAAACATTTCCACAGGTATTCAACCGTATTCGTATTTTAGATTAGATTAGGATTCATGTAACAATTAACTATGAACATGTGAGCACACATGGAAGTGCTATTCATAGTATTCTTTCCTATACATTTTATAATACTTGAAATATATATACGTATATATAAGTATATATACGTACGTGTATGTGTACTATATGTGTAACTATATATAAATAATAACATAAATATATGTGTAATTATAATTTTATGCAAACTTAAATTTTAAATAAATACAACACAAATATACACACATATATTTGTAATGTATATGTATATGTATATGTATATGTATATGTATATGTTGTAGTCCCCCAGCCTGGGCTCAATAATGTATATCATATGTATTTGTACACACACGCACACGCATATATGTATATATATATATATATTTACATATATGTTTAGTTTGTATATACATTTATATAGACACATATATAGACAATGTTAAACGTTACATTTCTATACCTTTTTAAAAACAGCGTCACACTCGTGGTGCGTGACGAGCTCTGTGTGTGTGTGTGAGTGTGTATGCGCGCGCACGTCCTGTCCATGTTAAAGTGTATCTTCTGACTTTAACCTAAACCTTCCTTCCTTTTTTTGGCTCGAAACCCTGCTGTGTTCATTTGCTGCCTAATTGGACTTTATGAGACCAATAACAGGGGGACACACCAGAGGGAGAGAGGGAGGGAAATAGGAGGCTCTCTCTCTCTCTCTCTCCCTCTCTCTCTCTCTTCCCCCTCACTCCGTCCCTGCCTTAATCCCATTTGCCATTGTACATGCCCAATCGCCTATACTTTCCGCATTTAACTTGGATGACATTTTTATTTCATCATTAGCATCAGGCTGACTGACACGGTGGACACTGTTTTGGGCGTTTTTTGGACGGAGGAGCCGGGAATGACACATCTCCACGCCGACTCCTGCTGCGTGCCTATTTATTTTTCCGCCTCTCCGACACTTTGTTTCCTTCTTAGCAATTAAACGGGGCGCGCGTTCGGAGCGTGGAGATCCTAGATTATTATTTAAAAAAAAACAGCACCTAGAATATATTACAGTCAAACAGGGTGACGTCGCAGTGAGGATATCCTCAGATTATTAAGTTAAAACAAAAAACCCAAACATTTTAACTTCTTTTTCCCGTGGTCCTCTGCGTTCAGACCACATCCACAGCGATGCCAGAGACGACGCAGGAAACGTGCGCTCCGGCCAAGGACTCTCCTTTCTTCATCAAGAACCTGCTGCACTGTGACAGCAAACCGTCCAAACCCAAACCCGTGTTCGCCGCCACCAAGGCGGCGCTGGAGGCAGGATTTTCCCTCTCGCCGGTCGGGGACCTGCCCTGCTTCCCACGCTTTGACCTGTCCGCACAGAGGTTCACTCTGCCGGCTCAGTATTTGGAGCGCACCTCGGCGTGGTGGTACCCGTACACCCTGGGCTCAACCGCCCACCTGCACAGAACCGAAGGTAAATGATGACGTTTTATCCTGATTATACAAACAAGGTTTTAAAAGCACAGTTTAGACAGTTTAACGCCAAGATATCTATGAGCAAATGTTGTTGTTGTTGTTGTTATTGTTGTGTGAGCAAATGTTGTTGTTGTTATTGTTGTGCACATTTGGGTGTTTTTTGCGGGGATAAGGAAATAAAACATCCGCGCTAGTGTTTTTTGGTGATGCGTCGACTCGTCCTCCATTTCAAGGCCTATTTTGTTATTTCCCAGACGCGGGATAATAGATCAATAAAGTGACACGCTGTGCATAAAATGAAGTAGACATCATGAAATCATCGGACGCGGCTGACGACGCGCAGCTGACGATGCTTTTGATTTGTCTATTGGCGCTCACTCCGTGAACATCTCACCCCGGAGGCTTGGCCGCACTGACAGCCTGTTCCTGCGTGATTTATTCACCAGGGATTTAAAACACGCTGATCTGAATGGCACTATCATTCATGCAAAAAGGGGAAAATATAGATTTTCAGAAAGTTGTTTTTTTTGGACAGGAGGAGTTGAGGGTAAAATCCGAGCCGTGACTTGGACAATAAACGGGGATTATTTATTTGATTTTTAAATAATGTTTGAACATATATTTTTTTGTACCAGGTCTCAGTTTGGCCAATTTTTGTTTTTGTACCAGGTCTCAGTTTGGCCAAAAATATTTAAAAAAATAAATCTTATAATATTTCCTTGTTTCACCATTGCAGTCACAGAGAAACCCGGAGCCAGAGACTCCTCTCCAGCCTCGGGCACAGACAGAGACTCTCCGGACCTGGTGCTCAAATCCGAGCCTGACGCCAAAGACGAGGACGAGGAGGACGAGCACAACCACAGCAAAAGCGGGGATGAGATCATCCTGGAGGAGAGCGACGCCGAGGAGGCCAAAAAAGACGAGCTGGACGACTGGAAGAAACGGGACGACGACAAGAAGCCGTGCCGCAAGAAGAAGACGCGCACCGTGTTCTCCCGGAGCCAGGTGTTCCAGCTGGAGTCCACCTTCGACATGAAGCGCTACCTGAGCAGCTCGGAGCGGGCCGGCCTGGCCGCGTCCCTGCACCTGACCGAGACCCAGGTCAAGATCTGGTTCCAGAACAGACGGAACAAGTGGAAACGGCAGCTGGCGGCAGAGCTGGAGGCCGCCAACCTGAGCCACGCCGCGGCGCAGAGGATAGTCCGGGTGCCCATCCTCTACCACGAGAACTCGGCCTCCGACAACGGCAGCGGGGGCGCTTCGGCCGCCGTGCCGGTCAGTCAGCCGCTGCTCACCTTCCCTCACCCCGGCGTCTACTACTCCCACCCCATCGTCACATCAGTGCCGCTGCTGCGGCCGGTCTGAACACACCAGCAGCGGTTTATGGGGAAAAAAAGAAAAGAAAAGAAGAAATACAAGTCATAAAATAAGAATGAAAAAGACTAAAATATTTTTGTAAAAAACCGACAGAAACACTGACACAGAGACTGACTGTTGGGCCACAGAGGACCTGTTTTACAAATGTGTCATTTGTCCACAAGGGTTCACACAATCATCTGACACCACAAATCTGAGTTTATTATTATTATTATTGTTATTATTATTATTATTAGATCTGGAACTCTCACTGCTCTCACTGCCTGCTGATGATTTTATTTTTTATTTTATTTTATTTTTTAAATCGACACCGTTGTGGCCAGTCAGGGCAACAACATCCATGTTCAAACTGATGGTGTGTTAGATCTGAATGACGACTGGATGAATGAATGAATGAATGAGTGAGTGAGTGAATGAGTGAGTGAATGAATGAATGGATCCACGGCCACTTCTTTGTATTTTCTCATGTATTCTCGGTGGAAATCTGACGGGACTTTGTTGTAATATTTTCTCTCTTTTTCCCCCTTCGTCTCACATGTTTGACGGGGACAATCAAGACACTCCCAGCTGTAAAATGTCTGTGTAGCTTCATGTTTATCAGAAATATCTCTCTCTCACACAAACAAACACACGAACACACACACACACTCCACGCGGACCCGTCCTTTAAAGCACAAGTGTGAGCTCCCATCTCCGGTTCTACACCGTGTTTTTGGAGCAGGAGCAGCACAAACGGCCACGCCACTCTGTCGATATGCGCTGTACAAATGATGTAAATGTAAATATTTAAAATTAAAAGAAGGAGGTGCGTGAAGGAGCTGCCACCTGCGGCTTCGACTTTGTACAGAAAAAAAAAACAAAAACAAACCAACCAACAAACCCACAACGTTTTGATATTGTATTGCTGAACTATGTTGTGAAATAAATGGAGAAGAACTATATTCCTCAGATGATTTGAATTTATTATTTTTTTTATTTTGTGCAAAAATGTTTGGACTTGATATTTTATAATTTTCTGTTCTCAGTTTCACTTAACACCAGAATAAACAGCATTACACACACACTCACACACACACACACACTCCCAGTGCCAGGTGTGTGTCTGGCATCATCTTTGTATTATCCACTTTAGAAAAGGTTGTTTTACATAAAGAGTGGTTCGCTCAATTAGATGCGTAATTGCCGCCATCTTGCCAAAAATTATAGCTAATGTATTCAGAGGAGGACGTCACTGTCTGAGTGTGAGCTATTACTGTTGTGCCTGTGTGTGTGTGTGTAGATAACTTTAACTTGTCTACATCATTAAAATGAATATTTCTATAGTTTGTTAAATCAAACATCAAAAATAAAAAAAAATTAAAGTGCTTTTTTAACAAATTACAAATGATAAAAAAATGTTATCTCCAGCTCAGTATATATATATTTTTTCATCCAGGATTATTATTATTTTCTTTTGTACTACATTGTTAAATAAATAATCATTTAAAAAAGTTTAATATTTCAAATTAGAAATAAATTATTAAGAATGTTTTCTTAGACCAAATCCTACAGGTGTCTGTGGTCACGCTCTGTGACTGTCTGTTGTTTATCATATGGTTTTATATAATATATTATTATTTAAACATAAAATGATTAAACATATTTTTATTATTTTTTGTGTGTACACTCATTTATTTAATTTTAATTAAAATTAAATATTTTTTCCCCACAGACCAATATCCTCGATCTTAGGTCAAGACATTGACTCTTTATTCAAAAAAAAGGTTTTTACATGTGATTATTTTTGCGGATTTTTTTGTTTGTTTATTTATTTATTTAATGCGTGGATTATAAAGAGGGTAAAGTTGATTCACAGAGGAGGAGACTGTGGGAGTCCTCAAACATGATCTCCTCACTTTGACGCATGGCACCGAGTATTTCACTTTGAAAATAAATAAAACGTATATTTTTACAAGTTATTAATTAGAATAAAATATGTTTTTATTATTTTTAATACAAATTTAGTCAAATCAAGTTAATCTTACGCACAACTGAAAAACGTATGTAGTCATTGTACGATAGTTTGATGTCATTATTTAACCAGTGTGTTTCTTACTCATAATGAGTCGAGAGAAAAAAAATCAATAGGATAAAATATTGAGTAGACCAAATTTTAGAGGGACGGGGGGAACGAGGGGTCAAACAAAAACACACATCCGCCGTCGGTGTTTTTGTTTTTTTTTTTATGTCAGATTCTACAGTATTATCGGAGATGAATCCGTCAGTCGAACCGTGTGTATGATGACCTCATCAACGGACAAAAGGTTCACCCGAAATCACATCGTCAGATCACATCGAGTATTGACGTGCGCCAACACGCACACGCGCAACACTGGGCCCATTACTGCAAATTAATAGATTAGTTTATGGCATTATTCCGCTGCCGAGTATCGATCCGCAAACGTCTGCAGCGCAATGCGTCGAGTAAGAGCAACGTTCACACGCCGCCTCACATCGGCTTATGACCTTGATTTGGGCGCATAAATTGAAAGAATTACCACTCGATAATTTCCATTTGTGCTACATCTTTATGTAAAGGAGAGAAGAGGAGCGGGGGAGAGGGGGCGGGGGAGGGGGTAAAATCAGATAAAGCACATTTGCAGGAGACGGGGGCCAAACGCACGTGACCGGGGGAGTGCGCTCGGTGTGTTACATTAAAATGGAGAGCTGAATGGGTAATTCTCTGGCCCCATCAGGGCTTTAGTGGCAGATTGGAGACACACAAGTGGCCCCCACCACCTTGTGCACCTCTGCTCTGCAAACAAGGCATGGCTGTGCTCCTGTGTGTGGCGCATTGAGTTGGAGAGTTAAAGGTGCAGCGTGGAAGATTTATAGGTAGAAAAAGAATGAATGTAGTTTTGACAATATATTTACTTGGAACTTAAAATATATTTTTCAATTTTCATATTTTTTTTTTAGATAAATATATGCCCGGGGATCTTCCATTGTCGTATCACCATGTGTTTACATCAGCTCTTATAGTCAACAAACTGATGGAAAATGATGGCATGAGTATTCAACATGTAACGTGTATTCAAATACTACGTTACCATATCCTACATGTTGCACCTTTAGTAGGACCTAACCTCAAATTTACTCCAAATTATGCATATTGCTCCAAAGATTTTTTTTTACTTTTAAAACAAGGAATAATAGGAACGCCACATACATACAAACAACTGAAATATATATATAAATATATAAATGATTAAATCAATCAAGCTGGGCAGTGGTGGAGACTCGTCGATTCCTTTAGGGAGGATGTTTGGCAGATTCAGACTCAGAGTGTGCAGCACGGACCACGTGACAGGGGGATTTTAGGGGGGGCAGCAGAACGAAGACAACTTTTTCATGAGTAAAGAAAGATGATGAAGGAGTAGAACTGCAGTTCAGGTTATACTTTATCAGCTGAATTAAAATTCCCACCTACAAATGTGGCAACAAAACCACCTCACCACCCACTGTGCACCCCTCGTGATCCCATCACCCCCCCCCTACCGACCCCCCCACCGACCAACACGGTCAGTGTTTAAACAACTCTTTTGACACATCCTGAAGAGGAAATCTGGATTTAAACCCGTCCCATTTGCCTGGCTGATTGAATGCGAGCATCCGATTTTCATCAAAGTTCTATTAAGTGAAACATAGGTTGCGGGACACCGTCTGATTGGAACAGTTTAAATTTTAATTGTGTTTTTAATTTGACATATAGTTGCTGTGAGGAATGACACCGGAACGCCGAGGGGCGGTCGATTTTCTTAATTTCTCCCCCAGGAATTGATGAGTCTATCAGGGCAGTAGATTGGAAAGCCATTAAAACTCAATGGTTAGGTTGTTAATTGGAACTTGATGGATAGGAGCCCTTGGATAGGCTGTAGCTGATCCAATCTTCCTGACTTTGTGTTTTCCAATAAATTACCCAGTTCATTTCCACACTCAGATTACATAAATTGTACACCTCCAGGGCTGGGAGCTCTGCTTGCGTTTACAACTCTCTCTCTCTCACACTCTCTCACTCTCTCTCCCCCCTTCTTTCTCCCTCACACACACACACACACAGTTGTGCGCACACAAACGCCCCGTGAAAAAGGAGCAGGCCTCGCTTTCTTGAATGAAAATCGAAATATAATCAACGTTTATACTTAGAAAATTTATTGATATCATTTTCTCTGGTAATTTCCTTATTTTAGACCTGGACACGTCATATATCATAATACAGGCGCGTAAAAGGCTCTTTGTTTAATATTTATCGAAGCTTGATTCCCGGATCAAAGAGCCTCATAACTTCATCTGTCTTCCTCAGAGTTTTTTTTTCTTTTTTCTTTTTCATTTTATTATTATTCTGCTGTTGCTATAGATCTTGTTCTGTTATTGCGGTGGGGTGGCCTTATACGTTCCCCACCTATCACCGTGATAGAGCACGAACTTACAGGCCGCTGCTCCACAGCCACTGCTGGAACAAGGCGCAGTCAGCATTTCCATATGTTGGTGTATGGAGAGGTGGTGGAACCCAGGACCCAGTCTGGTCTTTATACTCTGATGATAATAATAATGATAATGATAATAATAACCCACTCCTAGCAAGAACATTCTGGTTCCGACATTGTGTCTGTGATGAACCAATCATGTTGCAAAAGTCTCTGAAAGTCACAGAGGCTGCCGCGCCGACGACGAAAAGAGCGGCATATAAAATAAACCCATTTAACTGTCATTGCAGATTTCACGCCTTGTGTGTAACCACCATAAATCCAGCATCCGCTCCACATGCCCTCATATATTTGCCCCCCTTTTTTGGAAAAAGCCTCCTGCGCGTACGCGTCGTGTTAAGATCACTGAGCAGATGCTTGGCCCCGCAGCGAGTGACGAAATTTACGCGCGGGTCCAAACGCGACTGTGTGTGGTGGTGATGAAGAGGATGCTGATGATGATGGTGATGATGATGGTGACGACAGAATCCAGTGTCAGCATCCTCCTCCTCATCATCAGGGCTGTCTTCTTCTTCTCCCTCCAGCAGCCCGTCTCAACAGTGTGTGGCTACAGCGGAGAACAGACTGACACGATGATTAAAGCGGACCATTTGTAACGTGTCTGTCTGGGGCTTCCTTACAAAGCACTAAAAGACGGATAATGTGGCCGAACCGCCAGCACACAAGCCCTACAGCTGTCGCGGGCGCGCGCGCGCGCCCCCACACGCACGTACACACACAAATATTTTACCATTCAAGAACCAAGTCAGAACTTAACACCAACCAAAAAAACCCCAGTCTGTGATAAATGACTAAATAAATAAATACCGGGTTAACCAAAAAAACAACAACTTTTTTTTTTGTACCTTAACCCTCACCATGACTAGCTGTTACTTTGCCACAGCCTTCATGTTTACATGTTGATCCTTTACTTTAAGCAGTGTTTCTGATTCAACCTCTGCTCCATATATTTATCCAACATATATTTATATCAATTTAATGTCAATATTGATCCCAAACAGGAATTGATAATATAAATAAACACACAAAAACACACCTACAAGTGTGTACATCCAGCTCAGCTTTTCAATCATTAATTAAGACGTAATAATATTTTTTACATAATCTTTGAAGAAAAAATAAAATACTACATTTAACAACATAGTATCCATGAACAAATACTGCAAATAAAAGAGCAGCGATCACAACACACACACACACACACTGCAACATCCCCAATCAATTAGTCAATCAATTAGCCGGCCTCCACTCATCACCAGGCAGATTAGCAGAGTGATGATCAAATTAATCCCAAATCGTAGATAATGGACAGAGAAAGAGATTATTTTCGGGTAAAACGAGATTTTTTTCCCCCTCAGTTTGTATTAGTTCTGCGTCAATTTAGTGGAAATTATGGTTTTTGTTAACTGAGAATTGACGGTATAGTTTTACAGGTTTGAACGGCAAACAAACAGGAAACAAACAAACAAACGGGTTTTAGATTATTCTACGCTAAAGGCAGGGATATTATTCGTTTATTATTTATGAGGCAGAGGTGAAATCACGTTTCCAATCAAATCAAACCCTAAACGTGTGAACCACACAACACTCCAGTCTTATATGGCAGCAGCAGCACAGAGCAGGGGTTCCTCTGCCTCCTCTCCCTCTCCTCTTTCCATTTCGACCTTGACAGGAGTTTGAAATTTCCGGGCTTGTGTTCCAGGCTGCCATTGGTCCAGGAGGAGGTTACCTACATGCAAATGAAGCAACGCAGCGATGCTGCCTGTGATCCAGACGGTGAGGAGGAGGACCAGGAATACACTCATGATCCCCGAGCTCCAGAAAAAACACCTCGATGTTAAAACTCTTCAATTAACCAGGCTACGAGGAGAGGGGGGGGAGAGAAAAGGGACAAAAGGCGCTTTCGTAAATTTTTACGCACCAATCCTGCAGAACGCAATAACGGAATACCAGAGCGCGCAGAGATATTCAGTGAATACTTCAATACTGTTATGAATCGAGAATGAGTAACGCAGAAGACAGCGGGAGCAGCAAGTGCTCGTCCGGCCCGATTTCCAGCTTCACCATCCAGTCCATCTTGGGCACGCCGCCGTCCGACGCGCCGCGCTCTGCGTCCAAGGAGCTCTCCAAGGGGCCGCCGCTGCCGCTGCCGCTACCGCTGCCGCAGCCGCCGAGGAGGCGTTCACTGTCCGTGTCCTCCGAGGAGGAGTGCAGCGGCGGGGGGGTCTCAGCCGACTGTTTCTGCTCCGACACCGTTCACATCGAGCCATGCAACCAGCGGCCAACGCACAACTTTTCATGTTTAGGTAATTATTATTATTATTATTTAATATTATTATTATTATTATTGGACCTACAGGTTGTTGGGGCATTGTTGCATGAAAATTATGTTCCATAACAAATTCTTTTAATTTTGAATTCGGCGCACATTTGCTGATAATTTAATTAATAATATCATATATAATATAAAAACACATTCTCACATGTTCTACACGGTAAAAGACTGGATTTAAATATTTTGGATATTTCCATACGTCCACAAAGACAGTGGGAAAAATAAAAAAATCCAGTGACCTTACAGCTGGTTAAGAATGGACACTCAGGGTCATTTTTATTTGACCCACGTCACTGTTACGTTGGTGCAAATCGCACGCAAACAGACAGCAATTAATATAATTAAAAATCATAAATATTATTATTTTAAAAGTTTTGTTTGTTCACATTTGAATAGTCTGGGTGTGTTTTTGACTTACACTCATGCCTCAACGCCTCCACCTCCACTTGTTTGTTAATGTGTATCATCATCATCATCATCATCTTCATCACAACAGTAAAAGAGTGCAAGGTCGAATAATTACCCCTTCTATCTTTCCTCTCGTTTCAAATTTAATTGAATCCACTAATTGATGAAACATGTTTCCAAAATGGCCACGCTGCGTCGGTAATTGTGCGTAAAATCCACATGGAAGCATTTTAATTAATATCCTACTGTAAGCCGAGCATACTCTGGCTGAATTGTTTATTTAAAAAAAGTCACCCGTTTGCAGCAGTCGATTTAGAGAGTCAGAGTTCACACTTAACAGACTCTCGATCTGAGTAGGCTGAAACAATGTAATAGGATGGACTTTTTTTTCTCTCTCTCCCATGCGTAAAAACGCACATGGATTCATCACGTTCTGCTCTTGTCTTCTCCTGCTGCTGCTGCTGCTGCTGCTGCTGCTGCCGGCTGCAGGTTCCTCCAAAGGACTCCTGTCCGGAAACGAGGCTCCGGCCCGGCGGCCGCCCCCGCCGCCGCCGCCGCCGCAGGATTACAAGGAGGAGCAGGAGAGACCGTGCCACCAAATGTCACCGCTGTCCGAGGACAGACAGGCGGACGGGGCGGACAAGCAGGGGAACTCGGCCAAGAAGAAGACGCGCACGGTGTTCTCCCGGAGTCAGGTGTACCAGCTGGAGTCCACCTTCGACATGAAGCGCTACCTGAGCAGCTCGGAGCGGGCCTGCTTGGCCTCCAGCCTGCAGCTGACCGAGAATCAGGTGG